ATTTACAGCCAAGAAAAAGATCTTTGGCGTGAGAGCAGGAACTTCTTATCTGAGGTCGTACTGAAGGAATGTCGGGCGTGATTGCTCAGTTTATAAATAAACACCGCTGCTTGTGAATTATTAACGGAGTCATTCAGCGTGAAAATTCAGGACCTTTGTGGGTTTTTTTACCAAGTTTGGTTTAAGACATTACTTCATATTTGTGTACAGTGTGTGCTGAGGAAATATTTGTATTTCCCTCGTTTGCAACCACCAGCATCCGCTGGTTGGCGAGTGGTTGCTGGAAATCACCAGGTGAGAAAGACCCCAAAGCTCGCAGATTACCTGTAAACACTCTGCAACTAAACTGAGGTCGTTTGGCTTCTAAGTAAAAACTGTCTTTTGAAATTCACAGTTTCAGCACAGCTCAGAGTAAATGGCGAATGTTGGGCTACCACAGCAATCTGTGGGTGACTAACATCATTTCAAGGAAGTTTTTGACTGGAGCACACTCTTTGCAACCAGCCCACCACCAGTGACAGCAACTTCCAGCAACCACTTGCTAACTGGTTAGGGAATGGTGGCTGCTGGGCCTGTGCAATCAATCAATGCAATCAATAAGAGCTACTCTGTGATTTGGATTTGATAAGGCTACCTTGATAAGGTTTGGGGGGTTTCTTTTGGCGTTATACTCATTCTTGTGCATTCTGTATATTCACTAGCATACAAGGACAGTCTTGTATCTGTTATATAACTGTTTTGGCAGATGCAGTTTCCTGGAAGTTACCTCATGTACTAAAATGACATTCATGGAAGTCAGGTTTCACCCATGGTGCATCTCTTTCTAGGGCTGTTCAATATAACGATATATATCAGATGATGATATAAAAACATCGTTTCATTTTACGCTATCGTTTGTTTCGTGGTGTCGCAAAATAAACTGTTTACGGCAACATTTTCTCATGGTTCTGATGGTCACTGTCGTGGCTTTATTAATGTCTTAAAGTTTCTCTTTCTCTTATATTTAATATAACCACACTACGGACGGACAAGCGCCTGTTTTTATGCGTTGTCGTTAGCAACAACGACGGTAACAGCATCGCGTGTCCGCTTGTTTATGTTCCACATAAACCTTTCACAATAAAGCTCAAGATCCTGTTGAGACTTTTCAAAATAAACAAACACGTGAAAGATGCAGATTATTTACGGATGAGAAGTAAAAAAGAGCCGCCAGGTGCTAAAAAATAAACCTTAGACTCAAACGTTAGAACAGGCTTTTCCCCGCAGCACGCCGTGTAATAAATACTCACAAAGGAAACGGCGCCGTTTCAACTTATGTCTAAAAATGTATCGTTTCATGAATCAGTTAAAACACTCGACTCCAGCTACATGACGCGCAGCTGGAAACACTTCACGCAAGTCGAGCTGCCCGAGATTCACAGAATTTACAGAAAATGTTACATTTGTGTGATTTATATCGTTATCGGACGATAGATGTCTTATATCGGGATATGAGGTTTTGGTCATATCGCGCAGCCTTCTCTCTTTCCCTCATGAATCACTTCATTTTTTAGATGTTATGTATCGTTACAAGCCAGTGATCCGTCATTTGGGGTGTTTTATGCCTGAGTCGTACCTGCTGTGAGGCTTATGCTGACTGAGTCACACTCGTAGCAGTCTGCCGTGAAAACAGAGTGAAACTGAGCCAGAGTGACGTCTCAGCAAATTCATAAAAGTCCTGCTCTGCCGGCTGGGGAACTTCACCCAAGAAACAAGTCCGGACACTTATAGATTTGGTTCGTATTGTCAGTGTTTGCAGTGAATTGCTCAGACAGCAGACGCAAGGGTGATAAGGCAAGCAAGCAAATAGGATATTTGTTAGGGGATATCTCAGAGCTCCACTCAACGGGTGATATAACAGGATGCTTACATGCTGAGTGCAAGCCTGTGTTTATGGCATGTCTACTCTGTGCATGTTTCCCCACTTGTACTTAAGCACCTCATTTACATGGGATTCATCTCTGTTTAAGCCGAGCGACAAGGTTTGATGGCTTTGAATGACATGAAATCCTCTCTTGGTAATTCTTTAACCATCGGTTGTTTCTGGGAAATCAAAACAAATGAACTACAGATAAAAAGAATTAACCCTGTGCCCAGTGCCCACACACGTAGGTGTCCACACTGCCAGCCTTTCCACACGGCAGGGCGACGACAAAACCCCATCAGCTTTTTTACAACTGAGGGTACAAATTAAAAAAGATGTTTGCTCCTCAATAACTGCATTTTTGTCAGCGACCTTGGTTTTCTTTCTTTAAAAGTAAGATTACTTAATAAAAAGTAATGCAGGACAAAACTGTCATAAAATGTATTTACAACTTCATAAACAAATAAAAACAAAACAAATATTGAGAGATGAGAACCAATCAGAACTACCCATATGAAAAAGAAATAGAAAAAAAAAGACTTGCATCAGATGTGGCCTACTTCATATATTGAATCATAGAAGGCTGATATGATTTACTCATGAAAGTGGCCACTTTCATATATTGTTTTAGTAAATATCCAAAACATACAAGTTTCATTTATATAATTTTTTGAGGGATCTTATATCTGTTTTCACTCTTGTATGCTTTTCATGCAAGTTTCACACAAGACAGATAAAAACTTTATAAGATTTATATAAGTCTTTTCCATATGGGTAAGTAAGCTGTGTAGTAAGGCGGGATGAGTTTGTAAATCATCCAATTAGAAGTAACGTCCTTGTACATTGAGGTTAGACTTGCTAATCTGATCTGTATCATGTATCATGTCCATGATACTCAAAGGAGAGGAAAACTCCACCATCGATGACACTTTCCAACTCTTGGCTTTAAAACTCTGTTTGAACAAGGTGAGGCCTGCAACGCTAAAACCAAGATGGACAGTAAGGTAGCAACTGTTTGCTCTTCCTGTCATTGGTGAGAGGCGGTGCCTCATGCACGACCTGTGCAAAGCATGAGGCAAACTGTGGTCTATAACTGTGTTGAGCTATAGTTGTTTTGGGTTCCTGTACAAACTGAGAGGCTTGAGAGCTTGGCTCGCTCTCAGTGAGCGCTGGTCTGCCATCTGTCACTGATTCTGTTCATAATATTTATGGACAGAATTTCCAAGCACAGCCATAGTTTGAAAGGTTTGATCGTCTCAGGATCTTGTTCCTGCTTTATGCAGACGATGTGATTCTGTTGACTTCAGCTTGCACCGGGGCTGTTTGCAAGTGTGAAGCACTTGAAATGAGAGTTAGCACCTTGTAGTCTGAAGCCATGGTTCTCAACCAGGAACAGCTGGACTGGGAATGAGGTCCTCTCCCAGGTGGAAGAGTTTTAGTATTTTGGGAAGAGTGGAGCGTGAGATGGACTGACAGATTAGTGTGGTCCTGGCAGTGATGCAGATGCTGTACTGGTCTGTTGTGGTGATGACAGGAACTGAGTGTAAAAGGACACGTGTTGATTAACTGGCTGATCTATGTTCCTACCCTCTCCTATGATCGCGACCTATAGATAGAAAGAATAAGATCAGCAGCAGAAATGAGTTTCCTCTGAAGGTTGTCTGTGCTCAGCCGTAGAAATAGGCTCATTTGAGAGGGGCTCAAAGTAGAGCCATTATTCCACATCAAAAGGAGGCAGTTGAAGTGGTTCAGCATCTGACCCCGGTGCCTCATGGGCATCTCCTCCTAAGTGAGGTGCTTCGTACATGTAATGGAGGCCTGGAGCAGATCCAGGACATGCTGAAGAGATTATGTCTCTGGGCTGGTTGTGCAGTAATTTCAGGGAGGATCATTTTGACCCCTGAAATACTATCACAGGATGGCAAATCCGGTCGTTAAGTGATGACGTGACGAATCCTACTTCCGGGTCTAAAGTAGTCTGCGTTTAATATGGCTTTTGTGTTGTTAACATGTTTAATGTTTTGTATTTTCTTCTATTTGATCTCAAAAAGCTCCTAAAACAGTCAGTGATCACTGTTGACCTCCCTCGGCTTTTATTACCACTAATCATTTATTTAAGCTCAGTTTTTAAAACCTTAGGATGTAACTACAGCCCAGCCCATGCAGCAGTATATGAATGACTAACCTCGTATTGTGGATGGATTATCTCAGTTGTTCTCCTGGCTGAAGTTTGGTACGTTTACAGCATCCTGCCATGCGATTACATTTGTTCCTGACCACCGTGGAAAAAAAGTTAGCTTGTTTATATTATGCTAACATAGCTGTGTCGCTAGCGGTCACGTAGCACATCATTATATACCAGCTAGCCCAACTTCAGTAACCCTACAAACGTCACTGCTGTTTAGTTTTCTGTCTTCATTTATGCTGGAAGTGATAGCAGAGCTGTACGTTTTAATTTGTTTCCAAAACCCCGCAGTCAGGACATGCTATATTGTATTTAGATAGAAGCTAGCGAGCTAACTTCCTGCTAACTTCTAACTCCATTAAATGTCATAAATTCCGTTTTCATGGATGCCTGGATGTTAAACTCAATTGTTACACCTGGTAGAGCAGAACGCTGATCATTTTATTAAAGATGAAAGACTTTAGACAGTTTTTCAACTCTCAGTAATGCCACAGTGATCGTTTGATATATGGACCTGCAGCGGAGTTTAGACCCAGACACGGCTAGTGACGTCAGACTGAACAACCGGATAGGTTTTTTAATAACATCGTGGATTGTACTTTGGATAAAAGCTGCAAGTTGTATTACTGAAAAGTTTAGTTTAGTACAAGTTATACCTTTGTAATAGTAAAATAAGCATTTTTTTTCTTTAGATGGCATTAATGACAAAACTAATAATGCTTTAAGGAGGAAAAACAGTGTTGTCGTTTCTTTTCTTTTAGAAATCTGCATGTCTTTGTTACAGCAGAGCAGTCAGTAAAGTAAATACTTGACAAACATGAGACTTTGTGTCACTCTTATCACACAGAAAAAAAACCAAGCAAAACAAACTTAAACCAATTTTCCATTTAAGAATGATGTTTGAGATGACTTGATTATGTCTTCTTTATCTTTCTCCACATTTTGTCACAGCATTTACAAAGGTGGATCTGCATATTAAACACGTGAGTCACAAGTTCAGGCTTCAGACTGAGTCACCATGCTTCAAGCAGCTTTTTTCTATGCACAGAAGCTCCGCCCACCTGGCTCTCCAGGGAACCACATTTTCAGAATAAAGTTGGATTGAAAAGTGATAGTGAAAGGAACTAAAACATCTCTCAAGTTGCACTAACAGCCAGTAATTAGATTAATAAGCATTATTTTAAACCGTAAATCATGCAAAGCAACTCTAGTAGAATTCAAGAATAAACCCACTGAGCTGGAAATGAACTGAAAAGGTCCCCTTCAGGTTTGGTGATAAAAATCCATGTAGACATGCATGAATGTATATCTAACAGAAGACATAAAACAGGAAATGCAGTGACTGGTTATAAAACAGTGTTCAAACAGCAAATCCACTCAACTTTAAAGTGAAAACATTTCTGAAGTACATCACAAGGAATAAAACTTCACATTCATTAAAAAGTAAAACTGTGCGTCGGAAGCGAACATTGCTGCACACACACAGCATTTAAAGATCTAGCTAATTCCATTTTATCTTACACAGAGCTTAAAAGTCAAATACTGCATTTACACATTCGGAGACGTGTATTTACGGGATAACCGATTCCTACGCAGCTACTGAAATGGGACTGGAAGTATGAGCTTATAAATGGGATGACGTCCAGACTGCACGGGCAAAATAAAGACGAAGAATTGATTTTAGATCCACTGCTGACTATTACTGCCCATAACTAGAGAATCTGAGGGTAGACAACTGGGAAATTGTTTGAGGGTTTACAGAAGCACGATGGGTTCAGTTCACAAAATCAATTACCCTGTTTTCTGAATTAACGGGACATCTTAAATCACAAAGAGCCTCTATTGATCTAAAAGCCCAATTTCTCAGAAGCAGTGATGTCCCATCTGAGACACAAGTTTGTCAGGCAAATGCACGACATAAACAGTATTTCACGACCATGTTGCAGCAGCCCCTTGTGTTGTTTCTTCAGTAAGACTTTTATGACCACAAACACTTTTTTTTTTTAAAATGCAGTTTCACAGGAGTTTTTAAAATACTCACAGCCATTATATTAAACTGTATTGGGAACACAAATAAGTTGATTTGTTTTTCTTCACCTTCCTGAACACAAAGTTCCAACTGTGTCTTTTTTGTTTTACCCATCCAGTCTCATATCTGTGTACATATAGTTCATATTTTCCACTTTTGCAGAGCAACAAAGTCCGCCATCACTTTGTTCTGAATGTAGAGTTAATTATTTCAGAGGTCACATTTCAAATATGTAAAATTGGTTGAATTTAAAACACTGGGTTGGGTTTAAAACGTCACGGTGCCACGTCTTATAAAGCTGATTCATGCTCCAGACACTAAATATACTTACAAAGTTGTGCTGTTTCAAAAACAATTGACAATTCGATCCTATTAACATGAACTCTTTTTTTGGCGACTTTTTCCACTTTCTTGGACGACCGAGCTGGAAGAACTGCGAGAAACGGATTTGAGACTTTTGAATGTTTCTTCTTCTCCCAAGTTGACAGACATTGAGTTTGTACCGAAAACGTAAACATCTGTAATTCATTATGGTGTTAGCGTGACATTATTTTGGTAGTGCATGGATTTATCATTGAATAATATGCACACAGGTTTTTTATATTGCAGCTGCCAGTAGTAGAACTAGACTAGCTAACGTTGTGCCGACTAATAAATGTACGACTCCTGCTTGTTTTCACTTATTTTAAAGTACAGCAGCCACATTAAGTATCTGTATTAAAGTAATTACAGCACACCTCAAACATGAAGCATTTGAATACGTAGGCTTTCGGCCACAGTTTAGAGAAAGAGAAGAAAAAAGATTAGCTGTTCATGTTTGTTAGCCTGTTAAGCTAACAATGAAAAGCAGCTAACGCCCAGTGTCTGTACATCGTTTTGTTAAAAGTGTTTCCTAGGAAACGACAAACTGTTTAATAAGCAAGGAGTTATTCTCACCTTACGACCTTTGGAGTCTCTAATCTTTGTTCCCCTGATAATGACAAAACCTGCAAGAAGTAAAAATGCTGCATTTTTTACTCTTTTTTTAAAGTCTCGGACTTCCCTTTGAATTTCCACACGACGTCCCACCAGATCTCAGAGAAGCTGCAGTGCAGAAGTCATCCTCTGAAGCAAACTCAACCAATCCCCAAACACCAACCGTTCTGCTCGGCCAACGCCCTGATCTGACTTTACACAAAAACATTTCATAAAACATGAAAACCTGACAAAAATCTGTTTCTACAAACCTGACACCCAACAGCACACATTTTATATACACGCAAACTACATGCTTAAATAAACCTGTAACAGGCCAACATTAAATAAGAGTCTGAGTCAGCAGCAGAAGGTGATCTCTGTAAGATCTGAGTCACTTCAGGGCCACCTTCTGTCTTCATCCTCCTCAGTCTGCACTTCCTCTTCTCCACTGAGCAAGAACAGATGAGTTAGAGGGAAAGTGTAAGATGCTTGAGAAGTTACTGTTTCTAAAGCCAACTAATAAAAAAAGGACCAGAAGAAAAGAAGAAGAGGTGCTGAAAAAAACAGCACTCTGTTTTGGCATCTTTTCACTCTCCCGCCGTCCTCCTCCTCTGCCTCTGAGCTTAAACAAGAAAACCAGAGAGGAGGAGGAGGAGGGTGTCCTCAAGCCACCCCTTTGCTTCCATGCCTACTCTTCTGCTCTGTGGGAAGGATCCGTGATCAGACTAGCTGGAGCAGCAGGTCCTGGACTGCATCCAGGCACTTGCAGGACTTCCTCAGGGCTCCATCAGAGTCCAGCTGGGCGGCCAAGAGAAACAGCTTTCTGTCTTCGGTCACGGAGCCCAGAGACAAGGCTTCGTGGAGCTCCGACACACTCACAGCGTTCGGCTTATCCTGCGAAGAGGAGGGAAAAAGGTTGAGTTTTTATTACAATCTCACTATTGCTTTGTACCTTCTAATTGTGGCAAATAAACCCAGTTTCTCACCTTTAATTAAGAACTGTGTAACATCTAACTGTGTAAGCATCATCTCTGGTATGAAGGACACGTTTGTTAATGGAGCACTCCAGTAAAAAATGGTTAAACTTAAATTATACCCAATTTACCCAAAAGTCTGAGCAGTTACATTAGAAATCCACCCAAGTTTCAATCAAAGTATCTATCAACAAATATACCGTCGAGTTCGCCTCCACAAAAGAAATTGCTGATTTGAATAAAACACCTTCCCATTAACTTCCAGAAATCTTCACAGTGTGTCATTACAAATTACTACATGTCACACTGTTTAAATGCTGGTTGTCTCTGTTGTGATCACAACTCACGTGTGCAGCGAGTGAATTTAAAACCACCTTCCTACACAAACCATTCAACCCCGGCGCGACTCTATAGATGTCCGCCTCGTTTCTTGGCACCACGTCTTTCCCAGCACACGAGTTCTGTGGGAAACGATCTCTGTGCTGTTCAAACTAAGCGAGAGCCGAGGCAGAGAACAGAGGCTTGGTGGGCGAACGCCAGTATCACTGTCAGAAAGAGCTCCTTTATGTAGCCCATGTCACGGTACAGCCAAAGGTTTAGTTAGCAAACACCTCAACAGAAGCATTAAACCACCACAGTTGCCCTAAAATAACGATATTGGTAATTACCAAAATAACTTCTACTGTTTCTGTATGCACAAGCTCTTCAATGAAAATACCTTTAATGCTAAAACTATGCATTTACCAAAAACCTGAAAAAAACTGTAATTTTGTGATTAAGACCATAAATTACATTTATTAATTTATATTCCTGAACACAAAAAGTTCTGATTGAATAATTTTTGACTTCTGAGAAAAGTCTGCATGATAAATAACAATGTCATTTTTAGCTTAAACAACTTTTTGACAGATTTGGTTATTATTTTTAGGACATAAATAAATAAATATGGACACTCCAAGTGTCTGATAAGTAACATAAGATATTACCTTATTTGTGAATATGAAAACTAATGAAGCCATAACATTGAACACGGGTAATCATCCGTGCATAAGTGGTTTAACTCTAAAAACAGGGAATGATTTGAACAGTACAGACTTTTAAATATACTTTGCTATATTCTCACGTGAAACACGCTCCTCCCGAAAATGACACGGTTATATGTCATCCAAACATCTAACGGCCTTTTATCATTCAACTAAACTTTTTAACTGGAGCTTACACAACGTTTGATCTGCAAATCACCCAAACTGCTGGGAATTGTTGAATTTGTTGTACTTGCTGATGTAAAACTTCAAAGCTTTGCAGTTCAACCTGATGAAAAATCTGAATTCCTGTACACGTTCGTATCAACAGGTTAATTAATAGGTCTATTCTCCATTCTGTTTGATGATCCAAATTTTCTTATTAATTTCACAGGTGAAAGCAGTAAAAGTCTGCTCATTTTACACCTGTAGAGCCTCTTGATCTTTTAAACATGACGTGACCTGATGTAACCGGACTGCGGCTGCTCTGCGAGGTTTCAGGTAAGTTTTTCTTCTTAGTACTCAAAAAAACCTGACAGCACTGTGAGGATCGAGCCGCAGTGATCCAACATTAAATGTGACTAATATTCCTTTTTCCCTGCGGTGTCATGCATAATTCCACACACTGTGAAAGGAAATATGAACTGAGGAGGAAATGTATTTCAGGACTCTGATGGATCTTCCTCTTCTGGTTATGAACTTAACTGCATGCAAGTTTCAACCTCTGCATGGCTGCGTTCAGCTAACTGTTATTTTTGAAGGAAAAAAATAATTCACGTTTCATTACGTACACGGGGATTTTTGAGAACTGAGATTTTCTGTTTTTGTTTAAAAAAAAAAAAGAAATCCCATCCACACGTGCAGTGAAAAATATCTCCGTCCACATGTAAATGCAAAAATCAAAGTCAAACGCTGTGCAGAACATGCCACATCCTAACCATGTGGAAATGTTGGCCAATCAGAAATCTAGAAGCCTGGGAGGGAATGCGTAAACAGAGTTTTGTGCCCTCACCAAACCTTAAGTTTTCCTGGAAAGGCATCTAATTTTGTGTTACTTTTCTAATGCCTTCATCATTTCAAATGTTCATAACTAAAGACAGTATTTTGGATTTTGCCTCACTGGCTCTCTTGGCCAAAGTTTATTCGATAAAGAAAGAAACTGAAAATTTTACATTAGTCTGAGTGATTCATAATCACAAGTTGCAGCGCTCTGAAATGTGACTGGTGTAGACTCACAACTTAGGAATGGACAAAATGCACACAGCATACATTAATTACATTTTAAAAAGATTACATTTATTCAAAACCGATGACGACGTTGGCGCCAGGATTTGGTTGTACCTGCGTTTGTAACAGCAACAGTATTTTGTCTCTTTTCGGCATTGTAGAAATTCATCTGACATAAACAATAACGTGGCGCGCAGCGTGACGTCAAAAACGGCGCACACCTTTGACGTTGCATGACTAAGTCTTTTCCTCTTCCACACGTAGACGCAAAAAAAGTTTTCGAAAATCTCCACCCTGGCAGGAGTTTTTAAAAATATCAGTTTTCAGTGACCCAAACCGCCGTTTACATGTGGACGACATGTGTGAAGGCATAGAAAAAGCTGAGCTTTCTAGAATACTCGTGTCTGTGTGCACGTAGCCTTCTGGGGTATTTTTACATTGATCTCTATACATTTTCATATAATCCATAAATGACTTAGAAAACCGAATTACATTTGTCTACATGTGTCTACATATAAAAAAGAAAGGAAATAAAAGACATCATATTCTGTATATAACAAGTTTGTCAAATAACTTGAGCACCATCCTGGTTATAAATGTCTGCTACACAGATTTTTAATTGATTCTTTTTTTGTTCTTCTGGGTTGCTATTGATTTCCATTAATTTCCATATAATCCATAAAAAAATTAGATCATCTCTGTCTCTCTTCCACAGCATCCTGTTTTCCTTCTCTCTCCTCAACCGGCCAGATGGCCCCGCCCCTCCCTGAGCCTGGCTCTGCTGCAGGTTTCTTCCTGTTCAAAGGGAGTTTTTCCTTCCCACTGTCGCCAAAGTGCTGCTCATAGGGGGTCACATGATTGTTGGATTCTTCTCTTTATGCATTACTGTAGGGTCTACCTTACAATAAAGCGCTTTGAGGTGAATGTTGTTGTGATTTGGCGCTGTGTAATTAAAACTGAATTAAATACTGGTCTTTGCTTTAGTTTTTAAGGACATAATATAGTTTGAAACTTGAGGTTTAATGTCTGAAACCATAATTTTCATGTCCCCTAAACCTTTATAAGTTACTATCTTTTATTCAACACAGCATTAATGGAAATCAACGGTTGCTTAAAATGATAAAAACATAAAAAGACGTCTGTTTTATGGTTTACCTGCTTGTTTCCCAGGACGACCACAGGCAGCTGGGGCTCCACCCTCAGGAGGCGGTGCAGTTCAGCTTTAGCCAAAGGGAGGCGGCTTCTGTCAGACGAGTCCACCACGTACACCAGAACGTGAGTCCGTCTCAGGTAATCTGACCAGTAGCGCCGCAGATCCTCACCACCACCAACTGCAGCACAGAAAACACACCGCAGACATTTTTGACTGCGTCGGCGATCTCATTTTCCACCTGAGGTGCGCGAGTCATCTGCCAGACGGTTGGCAGGACTTGGACTTCTCTACGTGATCTTCAAGCTTGGCTAGTCTTTAGACATTACTGGACAACACATAATAAAAACTGGTTGTTGTTGAGCAACACCCGGCCTGCAGGCTTCAGTATCTGTGGAGGATTCAGCTCCTGAAGCGATACACGATTGTCCTCAGCAGGAGTTCTCATAATTAACAAACAAGGACGAGACATTGTTTTACTGTCGCTCCCTAGAGGGGATCTGTTTGCCCAAAATAAAAAGGGTTTATTTTTAAGTGTGTACCAGCACACATAACACTGCGTTCAGAGAAAAGGAGGCTGTTTGTCCATTGATTCATACAAAAAAACCCAAAAAACAACAACAACGACAAAACAATTGTCAGCCAAAGAAACACAGTATCCCCACACACCCCGACTGACCGCCATGCTCAAGGCCATTTCACTGGAGGAAGGCTTTCGGTTAAATAAAAGGACAGATCGATACGCAGAATTAGATGCGCTGTTGGCATCCCCACTTTAAACAAATTGGCCACAGATTAATTTCACATCTGCACCGGACTGAATGCAATCTGATTTTCACCGAGGGATGAAACAGGCTGAGACGGCACTCAGGCATTATTTATATCCACAGTCCGCTCCTGGGCAAATTAGTCTGATTCATTTTTTCCATCTTGTTGCCTCCAGACATGATATGTTAAAGAGGCTCAGAGTAAAATATGACAGTGCAGCAGCGATTTCTCTTCATTTAATGGGTCTGAATTGGGTTTTGTTTCATGGAATTTATTCAGTTTTTCTTGTTTTCCTGCAGCTCAGAGGCTCAGTTTATTCTTAGTTTTGGGGGAAATACATTAGTATTGATGTGGTTTTGGTTTTACTTTATATTTTGTCCCCTTCTTGAAACTTTTTCTTATTTGTTTTCCTTTCCTTGTGTTCTTTTCCAGAGACACTATAAATAATTGAGGACACATCTCATTTATAATGTGTGCAGGCTTCTTGGATTAGTTTGGCTGCATGAAACAGCAGCAGCTCAGTCATCATGATTTAAACATTGAGGAATGTGAGGATTCATTTTGATTAGGCTGTTTAATCCATTCACATTTTTACACAGTAAATAATGGAAGTCAGTGGTTGGTTATAGAGCAACATCAAAGTGTAACATTTTTAATGGCGTGATTTGGAGTTTTGGGCCATTTTAACACTTGTAGTTCAGTTGACCAGATTCAGTTGATGAGTCTATAAACTTTAGCTTCTCCTCACACTTTGATTTCCTTGCACACAGAGTGAACTGCAAGTCAAGCCCAAAGGCTTTCAGCTCTAACTTCTATCTTACAACTGGTAGTTTGGTCGGTTTGAGGTTGGATCACATTCTCTTCATAAACAAACCAGATCGAGTCCTCCAAACTGGGCTGAACCAGAGTTTGACTTGGACGGCCTAAAGGGTGCAGGTGTGAAAATACTCTTACTAGGCCACCACTGACTTCCATTAACTTCTGTACAATCTGGGGGCGATCGTGGCTCAAGAGTTGGCAGTTCGTCTTGTAATCGAAAGGTTGCCGGTTCGAGCCCCGGCTCGTACAGTCTTGGCCGTTGTGTCCTTGGGCGAGACACTTCACCTGCCGCCTACTGGTGATGGCCAGAGGGGCCGACGGTGCGATATGGCAGCCTCGCCTCTGTCAGTCTGCCCCAGGGCAGCTGTGGCTACACCTGTAGCTGCCTCCACCAGTGTGTGAATGAATTGTAAAGCGCTTTGAGGTTCTCGAAAAGCGCTTTACAATGCAATCCATTATTATTATCTAAATCAATAAACGTAAATTGATACTAAACTATAGAAATGAACAAACATCAAACGTTGCCTAGAAATGTAGCTCCAAATGTCCAGTGCTTTGGAAAACATTTAGCTGTGCTCTGAAACGTTTAGACCTCACTGGACTCCATCCATGTGATTTAATCCCACAGCTAATTACCAGTGTTGGTCATTACTAAGTACAGTAACAGTTAATACACCAGTATGTGAAAACTCTCTAATCTGAATATTTTTTATCCTTAAATATAATTATTGAATTTTCAAATTTGCTGTTTTACAAAACAGCAGAAAAAATTAAGGACGTCATTATTTTGTGGTCAAGATGTAAATTACAGTTTTTTACTTTCCTGAACAGAAAACTTTGTTTTAGTGGTTGAATAATTTGCTGGCTCTAACTTGAATATAAAATCCTGAATTCAGTTAGTTTTTTCACTCATAAATAACAATTTAGGGGTTGCTTTTTCTTCTTCTTTACATATTTCTGGGGGGGAGGGAGTGTTTCTTGTTTTTATGACTAGTGATCTAAAAAATCTATTAAGAACTTTAATAGATTTGACATATGAACGCACATTCACATGTATTTCACATGTTCCTATGCTTAAATGCATCCTGTGCACTTTTAGACTTTGGTTGTATTTTTAAACCGTTATAAGCAGCCATTCACTTCCATTAATTTACATATCATCAGTAAATCAATGAGAAAACTTAAGAGTTGTAGATCTGTTTTACATTTGTAAGAAAATGCTGTTTTTCTGCACTCCCCAGGCAGTCACTGATTTCCATTCGTTTCCATAAGATCTAGAAATCAACCAGAATACTCAGCTACGTTGTGTGATCCATCGACCTGAGCATGAAATTTTCCTTTTATTTGGTTTTCCTGCTTTCTGGGATCACAGAGGAAACAACTCAGTATTGATTTGTTTTCATTTCCATTGTTTTGAGTGGAACTGAGTAATAAGAGTATTCGGGGACACATCTCATTTTTAAATCTACTGATGTACAAGATTCTTGTATTTGTTGCAGTGTGATTTAAACCTGGAGCAATGAGACCAATTGTAATATAAAAACCCTTCATAAGGTAAAGTATAAAGTAAGAAGAAAAAAAACAGCCATCTACAGCATTTCAGTACCAACACTGTTTGTACCAAACACAGTCACAGGTCACATTTGCTAGAAAATCAGTTTCCAGCTTCAGTGGTTTGGAAAGTCTGCAGCAGAAGTGACCTCCGGCTGCAGGAACCAGCGGTGCTCGACGGCCAAACGAATCACTGCTCACAGCGGCGAGTAAGACTTTAGGTCCTAAGTGCCTCTGAATCCAAGAGAGTAGCAAGAATTCATTAGTGCTGGACCTAATGGGAAATGTTGCTAGGAAACTGGGGAGTGCTGTACTATAAGCTGATGTGATGTGGCAGCAATAAATACCTGTTTACCCGATGCAGTATGGAGGCCGGACCCGGCGCTCGGCGGCGTGAGCAGCTTGTGTTTTATTGTCACGGCGATCTCAAAGGGATGCTGGTCCTGCTGCTCTGCAGGCCACCTTATTAAACACCCTCCCACGCGTGTGCGCGCAGTCAACACTGAGTCACACGGGTGTGAATGATGTGGGCGTGTGTCTGTACCCACCTAACTGCTTCAGCTGCAGGCCTCTGTGCAGCAGCGCCGACGAGGAATTTACACCTGATTTTACAGCCAGAGTTCGACTGTCACACCCAGATTCGTCGTGTTGATACCTTGTCACATGATATCTCAGTTCAAAACTTGGTGTTTAAGTACAGAACCTTTTAACCTGTTATTCTCCAAAAGGTCTTTAAAGTTTGCCTCTTTAAAGCCTCACAGATGCACGTGGGCATGCTTCATGTCTGCTAACGCAGCCAAAGTTCAACTCAAAACTTTGACTTGAATCCAGATTTTGACCTGTTGTTGCACCGCTGTCTTCACTCTCACGGGCGTGCACCACGTCCACGGGACAGTAAGTAGACTGTGGTAGCGTAAATTTTAAAATAAACACTAATTAGTGGACCTAGGCTTGATTTAAATTAGCAGAGCACCGATTTACTGTCTGAACATGAATACCATCAAACATTCACCTTGACTGTCACTGCGGCTCCTCGTTCATGTCAAAAATCTACATAATGACTCACAGACATTAGAAAAATAGTGAGTTTATTAAATGGATTTCCAAAAACTTTAACTATTATTTAACCTAGTAAATAAATATATATGAAATGAACTGAGCATGCCATGGCTAGTTTGGGAATTCATCTGGCAGCAAAAGTAAAGAACAGGGATGTGTGCAGAGGAAAAATTAGCCATTACAAAAGAGGATTACCCTAATTATCTATTTGTTTTAATTAATAGACGGTAAGGTTGTAATTGCAATTGGAATAAAATTAATAACACAGTCCTAACGGCCACCAGTCATGAACTAATTCAGTTTAGTACTGACAGTGTGGTGACGCTCGTTAAACTCTTTGCACCATTACAAAAACCCATCAATATTTTCATCAAACCATACAGGTGCTGAAAGTCCCCGTCGGTATGACGACTACGTTATGAGCGCTCATAGCAGCGCTTATGACCGAGGGTAACGTAAAGTTCAAGCTTAGGGGCAAGAACGAGGAAATGGTGGATAGTGCAGACAGCACTATAATAATGATAAAACACAAACCCACTGACAACACAACTGTGCAAAGAACCATAAATGATTTTTGGTTATTTTGGTAATTTTTACCATTTTGGGGGTTTTTTCCCCTCAGATGTTGGGATGTCGTGTCAATGACTGATGTCACAGGCAGTGTATCCTAATAGTTTCACATCAGTGTTACTCTGTGATTTTTATCAATACAGTGGAACCCCGGCTTACGAAGACCGAACTTTTAAAACCTGTTTTTATATGAGAATAAGAAAAAATCTTGGATATTTTCTGGTGCCATTAAAGGTCGTGCAGCTTTGTCTCTTTTTTTGACATCAGACTGGTTGAAGGATTTCTGTAGACATGAACCATAAACCAACCATAGTTTCCTTAACTAACTTGTCTCATTCTGCCCCCACTCCTCCCCTCTTGTCCTTGAAGCCTTTTCTTTTTCCCGCCCTCCTTCCTTTGCCTTCAGTTCCATTTCAAAAAAGAGAAAACTTGTTATACGTGTATCACAGACCGCTGTATCTGTATCGCGGTCTCGGGTTTTTGTGATGTTTGTTTTGATTTTATTCTTCTTTCAGTCTCCCCAGAGTTTCCATGCCTTCGGCTTCCTCTGTCTTCTTCTTGCCTTCATCATCCCTGTTTGTTTTGGATAATCTCATTTCCTGTACTTTTACTTCATTTCTTCGTCTGCTCTCTCATATTTTCCGCCTGCCTCGTCTTCTCCGTTTCTTCGTTCCTTTGCTTCTTTGCCTTTGTTACCTCTGTTCGGACACTATTTTTTAAGTGATTAAATTCCAGCACATGGCAACGCAATTTGTTTATCAAAGCTTGTAAAGTGGACATGCCATGCTGAAGGAAAAAGCTGAGGATTTAGGGCCTCACCGCTGACAGTTTCACTTCCCTTTGACACAAAACCAAATCTCATCATCAGCTCAAAGCCTAAAACTACTTCTCCATCTGATCTGGTGTTAGTTCTTTTATTTATAATTCCCCCGAGGACTCCATAAAGAGATCCGTACTGCGTCTCACCTGTCAGAATGCCTCTGAGTCAACGTCACCGACACAAAGACACTTGAGACATTTAATGCACAGACCCGCTGAAGTATTGTGCCTGTGTGGGTGGCGGCGTGAGCTCTTCTTACTTTCGCGGATGAGAAAAAGATTAGTGGCGCCCACCGATAGCAGTGTTCAGATCATTGAGCGTGACACATTCCTCTAAATACATCGGCCAATCACGGCTGACCACGCATGTTGGCTGAATGCAAAGCGAAGTCATTCAGGTTATTATTAGTGCTGTGGAGCACTAATGTGATGGATTTATTGATCCTGCCAGCAAACGTAATGCAATCTCACTTTACCACCATAGTGTGAAATTAAACAGAAATACACTTTCCAGGCTTCTTTGTCACAGTCAACTTTCGTGATACCTTGATACTGAACGTTTCAGTCGCTGAACAAATAACAATATAACAAGAGCCATTGCCAGAGATTGCCTTGTGATTGCCTTTGTGTTGGCAGTGATGGATGATGTGAGCTTTCAGGGAAGAAAAACAACTGAAGTTGTGGATCAAATCTCCCTTTAAGTTCAACTCAAACAAAGCCAATGGAGTTACTTCCCAGCACCTAGAGCAGATCAATTATGGACATTACCAGCTTCACGTTTTCATACTTTCTGGACCAAACAAAACTGTATGAACATATTTTTCTGTTTTAAATTTCTTTTACACTACTTGTTATTTTTTGAGAACATCTTGTTGCAAGCTTGGAAATATTCTAATGTTAACAAGCTAAAAGCCTTTGGTTGTTTGTACTTCATCAAGCCAACTATGAGTAGGGAATCCAACATTACCTAGCATGCTAGCAACCAAAGCAATGACAATGAGGAATTTGGTGCAGCACCCTCTGCATGACCAGTCTCTGGGCCTGTGCTTTATGGGTCGATTTCACACAACTGGACAGTGAATATAATTTCAATCAACTGGTCTCTAGGCCTGTGTGACGGTAATCTAAGATGCTAATCTGTATGTTTAATTAGTGTTAGCATCATCCTGTGCTAACTGACGCTAACAGTGGTAAAGGGTAGTAAAGGGTCTAGCTTAACAAATGTCAACAAGCTAACGAGCTAAACACTTTAAAGTGGCAGAGATGTGCTAACATTAGCACACACTCACTCATCTCCATAACTTGCTAATGTTAAAAAAAAAATCAGCAAATTTCATTCACCAAGTCTGAGCTCTCACAACTTCATGCTAACATTTTATGAACCCGGTTTTCCACAGTGCGTCTCCGGCATGTCTGCAGAGCTGTTTGATTCGAGGCAGTTTTATGAAACAAATGGCCAACTGAACTGAACAGTTGTGCTCTTTCCATTTCTCCATTTCATGCTGTTTGATAAAACATCAATGCTCGCTAGACTCCACACAGAGCAGTGTTTGATTAGGACGGATAAAAGGAGCCTTACTCTCCAGGAAGTCGAGCTGACAGGCGGGGGCGTTGAGACTCATAAAGTTGAAGCCGCGGGTGGGCCGGCACCGGCCTCTCTTAGCCCCTGAATCCCCGGGGGTCAAACCCTGTAGCATGCTGCTCTTCCCGGCCCCGTCCAGACCGAGTACCAGGACCTGGCGCTTCCCACGCTCCTCTTCCTCCTGCAGGCAGACCGCAGAGCTGTTAATGTTTGCAAACGCATGGAAATGTTGAGTTGAGGCAAAGATTAAACACATCACTTATTCAACACAGAGTGAGGGTGAAGCCTTTGGTTTCGAATATTTGTGTTGCACTTTGAGCTTACCAAACCACAAGCAGTTCATCAAAATACAGGAAATATATGCACAGTGATGGGCCAGGTTGGAGGGCTTCGCACATCAAGGAGAACATTACAACAAAATATCACCTCCAGGAGTGAACATCAGTTGTTCTAGTGGAAAATCTCTGCAAAGTCAACCGGTCTCTCCTATAAGCCAGGTCAAGTCTGCTCAGGTCCCAGCAGAGATGGGCATTACTTTTTTCAAGTAACGAGTAAAGTAAGGGATTACTATTGCAAAAACGGTAATTAGATTACCGTTACTTTCCCATAGGAACGCTGTGTTACTGCGTTACTAAAACCGTGATTTTTTTTGCGAGAATGTCTCATGACAGTGACGTAAGCGAGTGTGACGTTCGTGACAACAGCTGTGTGCAGATCAACAGTGGATCACATATCGAGTGCAGAGAGAGTATGAGCGTGCAGCGTTTAAAGCGTGGAAGTACTGACCTTACTTTGAGTTTGATTCCATAAAAAGTGACAAAAACATTAGTGTCCGCTGTGCGTGGGAAGAAAACTTCTTTTTACAGCGAAAAAACCCCTAAACTTCCAACAAGCACCGAGTAGCTACGACGTAATGGGAAACTCACAGAGAAACTCTATTTCTTCAACTGACCGCGGCACACCTGCACCAGGGTAAACCTCCGCCTGCCCCACTCCTGCTTTACAGGTGAAAATAGAGCAACAGGACCGCTGAGTCTTTGACTTTATTTATTTTCTGCTGTGTTTTACTTGCATCTATTTGAAAGACTGAGTGTAAACACAAAAAATATTTTATTTTATGTTCTGGAATCTGCAGAAAATAGGTTTAAATGTTAAACTAATTTCTTCCAGTCAGAGAATGTTGCAGATAATTAAATTTTTAAAGATTAAAACTAATAAAACAAGTTTTAAAAAGAGACTTTTCCATTTGATTACATTTTGTATGATGGATTATGCAGAAAAAGTAGAATTGGGCTGAAAGATCTATCACTTTATCAGCTACTCAGGGTGTAAATCGTGTTTTTAAAAAGTAACTAACTAAGTAACTAATTACTTTTTGGGGGAAGTAATCAGTAATTAGTTACTGATTACTTTTTTCAAGTAACTTGACCAACACTGGGTCCCAGTGACGTTAATTTTGCGGTCATACAGTGAGTGAGTGCTGTGAGGATGTCCATCTGTCCGCCTGTATTTACTACAGGCGATGCATGTGTCCCAGGCAACAGACTTCAATCAGACTTAAAGAAGTTTAACGATAATAAGTATTCCAGCTGTCCGAGCCTACGACAGAGTGTAATCATGTACCGGCCGTTACAAATGCAGATACATACAAACAGCTGAACGGATAAACTGGTCTGGCTCTACCTTCAAACACCGCGACGAGCTGCTTTTCAACAAGGAAGGATGTTTCTGTCGAGCTTTAACTTCTAACATCTGTTTACTGTTTGGGTCAATTGGTTTGCATCTTATTTCACACGCACTAGAATTTAAGTTTAAACTAACAACGCCGGCTTTTTGCCTCCTAGAAACAGGTGGAAATAATTCAGCTCTATTCGCTAAATTGCTGCCAGTTTCAGTACAGCAGAAAAGGCTCTCTGCTCGGAGTGAGTCTTTGAGTTCAGAATTGATTAACAGACACTGAGATACTGAAAGTCAAGAGTCCAAAAATAGCTGGTGAGCATGTTTTTCAGGGCCACCTGTAATATGACACAGCCCAGACACGTGTTCGTCTTATTGTCACATTTTTTAAATTCACCATTCTGGACATTTCAAGAACCTCACCTTGGCTGCAGGGACCTAATAAAGGACAAAGCCAAACTGCAAAAGCAGATTACCTAGTAATGAAAGGATGTTCGCTCTGGTTGGATCAAACCGAATACCCGACTCTTCTGCCTTTCAGCTAGAAGCAGGTATTTTAACTTGATGTTTGTGTTTTTTCACACCGGGTCGCCTCTTCAAATCAAACTGAATGCATTAGACTTTTGGGAATTTGGCACTGAAGACTCCTCATAATGTGCAGGAATATGAATCAGCTTCTGCAAACCTCAAGGGGCACCGCTCGTGATATTATACTTTAATGAAAGAGCAGGCATCCTTTTATTACTTTTATTTCAGGGCAGATTTGTCTCAGCGAGCCTTCTGCGTGTGCAGGAATAAAGAAACGCGAGTCTCAGAGAAGGCTTCAAACGTCGACGCGCTCTGAAAGCGCCCGAGAGGCTCGGGGACGTCACGGCCCCTCTGAGATCCCTCACACGTCAGTCATCTCCTTTTTAAAAGTCACACAAGGTTGGTCTTTATTCATGCCGTGTGCTGATGTGCAGCCGCAGCTCTGTAGAGGTTAATTACCAATTCATATCAGCCCTTTTAGAGTGCAGATGTGTCAGCTTCCTATTAAAAATACCACTTTGCTGATGGATCATCAAGCGCTAAAATTACTCCTTCAGAATCAGTTAATTTGATTCCCTAACAGATGAAACCACCTCATAATTACCCAGCAAGCACTGCAGAAACAGGCCAGATGAAGAGACTGGGATATTTTGATGATGGATTGCGTTTCTTCTGACGTCTTTCTGGCTGTAATCGCCGCCTGGTGCTGCCGGATAAATGCAGCAGCAGATAAACAAGGCCGCTCTGACAGCTCTGAAGCTCGCCTCCGTGTTTTTCTGGCTGAGTCGGCCCACTGGGAGATCAACCTCAAACCCTGACAGCGCAGAAGCCTCACTGTAGCTGCTGAGGCTGCAGAGCCACCGCTGCTCCTAACAGGGCGCGCCGTGCCTGCATCTCCATCGTCTGATTGGCTCCTACCTGGACTGCAGGCGTATTCAAATGATCTAAAATGACTTTAAGTGAAACCAGCAATTCAATCGTCTCCGGTTCCCTCTGTAACTTTCTCTTTAAACTTTTTCTTGTTGCTTCAGACATTTCTCATAAAAACTGGTGATACTGAATCGATTTCTTTTGCTTTGCTGCCCCGCGGGGAGGTTGAAGAGTCCCGGCTCGGCTGCAGATCAGCGCTGCTGGATCTGACAGAGGTTTAACGTCTCTCTCAAGGACACTCCACCCAAGCAGACGCTCAGCAACGCAGCAGCTTCCAGCCGAGGGAGCGGTAAAGCCAGCTCGCCTGCAGCTCTGAATAGCAAGTGTACAGCTGCAGTTTACTCAGAGAGGAGGCAAAAGGAGCTATCATCCTCTAACGATGCCACATGCCGTCGGCCGCTCGTGTTCCACGACTTCTCCTGTGATTACATGTGACTTCCTCTCTCTCTCGCATCTACTTCAGTGATTTCACTGCAGCCAGACTACGAATAACAAGCTTCAACTTGTGGCAAAAAGACACGATCGAGTACCATCAAGCATCGACTGAGGGTTAAAAATGCTTCCTCCTTCCCAGGAAATGGAAGTCAAACTCAAGTCTGAGCTTCGCCTGGAATAGCAGGAAGTGACAGGAAGGCTCTCTGCGGACACTATCTGATCAACAGCAGCTTTATCAACGCCCAGAAGTCGAGAGTCCAAAGATAACCAGAAGTTTTGGTTAGAGAGCCAGCCTGTGATTCGCCGAGTACTTCCTGACTGACGTGTTAATAAAGTCAGTGAGAGCTGCTTTTAGTTTTAACCTCTTTGACCTAAAGAACCTCAGCTCTGAAGCTGGCTGCTTCAGAAAAAGTGAATTAAATAGAACCTGAGCTTTGAGTTTGTGACCATCCAATAAAAACCTGGTAGACTGAGACTCTTCGCCAACATGTTGTCAGCTGGCAGGAGGTAGGCCTGGTGTCATGGAAAGAAATGGACATCATCTCACATGTACTTCCTAAGAAAACTGCAGCTTCATGGTGAAAGCCTGTGACCCGATTCACAGCATCTTCGAGCCAAAAAGCAACAAACTGGGAGAGAGATGATTTCAGCCGAGAAGGAAGGCGGAGCATCTTGCATCGTCACTGAGCTTATATCCATTACCGTGAGAGAATTCCCGTTCTCAAACCACACAGTCTTCACGGTGATGTTTGAAGCTACACAGCAACGACGATGTGGGGTCATCAGCGGTGAACGGAGGTTTCAGAGAGAAGAACGCAGCTACGCCACACCATGTGTAATCAGCCCCGTTTCAGTGATGGAGCTGTAAGGCCGAGCTTTACTTGTATTTATCTTACAGTACAGGCTCACTTCCTGACACGGGCTCTGTGAGACCTGTGGAAGTACGTTCAAGGACAAAAGTCAAGATCGAAAACTTTGCATTTACCTCAGGACATTTCTGGTTTTATTAACGAGCAGAGGCTGTCGGATAAAGGTCTGTGAAACAGACTGCTGGCAGCTGACTGTCTGCAGCCCTCCTCTGGAACTACAGTGAGAATATATTATATTCCTGGACTAAATGTCACACAGGCTAAAATACTCGATGTGGACTCCTCACCAAGCTGTATGAAAACGCCGTTGAGACGTTACATTTGCAGTGAAATCGTGCCTGTAGACCTTTTATCTGGGCCGCGGTGAGGATCTCATTTCCCAGCTTGGCCCTCGCTGAACCTGAATTTGACACCTCTGACTTATGATGCTGCGATATTTTAAGACTAGATGAAACTCCCGTACCACTGCACCCTGACACAGAGCAGAGAGTGAGCACACACGCCTGTCGATGTACGAAATACTAAACCTAACGCATTAACTCACGCTAACATGAATCGCACCACATTGAGATACTTGTGACCGTGTTCCCATAACTGAGTTTTTCCTGGTTTAAGGGGTGATAACGTCCACAATTGGAGGCTGTTGGACCCATTATTCACGTTCAAGGCCAACAAGTATTATTATTTTTACCCTTAATCTCGCATTACACACTAAAATGACATGTTCTTATGAGCTTTACTTTGAGAATAAAACTACTCAGTAAGGTTTGGAAACTACAAATGAAAACTTAGGTTTGGGCAATAAATCGCTGGATAGTTTTAGGTAACTAATTAAAACTACTCGTTTAAGTTTAGACAATTAAAACTACTCTTATGTTACATTAAGGTAAAGAAAATAATTCTGTTAGGTTTAGGTAGTAAAACTAGTTGGTTAGGTTTAGGTAGTGAAACGGGTCAGGTTCAGACAATTAAAACCTGGTTAGGTTTCAGTAACAAAACTAGTTGGTTAGGTTTAGACAATTAAAACAATTCCGTTAGGTTTCGGTAACTAATTAAAGCTACTTATTAAAGTTTAAGCAATTTAAACTACTATTATGTTAAGGTAAAGAAACGTATTCTGTTAGGTTTAGGTAGTAAAATTAGTTGGTTAGGTTTAAATAATGAAACTATTTAATTATGTTTAAGTAGTGAACCTATAATGAAAACTGCTTATGTTACATTTAAGGAAAGAAACTTATTCTGTTAGGCTTGTGTTGTGAAACTACTCTGCTCGGTTTAGTTAAAGTTGTGCTAACTAACAACAAAAGGACAACACGTGTCTTGTACGTGCACAACAGATTCGATTCTTATAAGTTTGTCACATTTTCACTGCTGGACATTTCTGTGGAGTCTGGAGACCATCGCAGTCACGGGTACCTGAACACCTCTCGAATGTGGCAGAACTGCACAAACGATTAATAATGTCAACACAGAGCAAATCTCAGAGGAACAACAGCAACATTTAACAACAACGAAAGTGCCTGTAGAGACGAGGCCGCGGAGTCACAGACGATATGAAAAAGTGGGATTAATATAAAGATAAAGGCCTCGGAAACCATCGTCTACCTAACAAAATAGCGAAAGAAAGAGTAAAACGAAGTGCTCCTGTGGTTGTTTGTCGCTCTGTAAATGAGCGTGTCCTGCCCTCCCACCTGCTTCGACTCCTTGGGGTCAAAAACACGCTGTTAGCCCCCCCCGCTTTCCCGAGACGTGATTGGAACGAATCCCCAGACTGAAACATTTACATCTCCTCTGTGGCGAGCCGTCGGCAGGCGCCGGCACTATCCCCTGAAGACGGGCTGAGCCAGATAAACCAGGCTAAGCCCATTACAGGCTGCTGCTGATTGAATCGAGGAAACAAGATTAGAAACATGCAAATAGATTTTATTAAGAGATTCAGGCTGCAGCTGTGAAGACTCATTCATTAAGACCCTCCGCTCGCTGCCCGCCTCATTTCTGTTTTTCTGTCTCTCTGCAGGAAGCTGAGATAAACAATCATATTCCCACAAGGAAGCTCGCTACTTCAGCATCACCTTGAACACGATTTCCCACTTTTTTCTCTTTTCAGCAGCAGCAATTAAAGCTGAAACAATCTGCAAGTGTTTTAATTATTAAGTCAGTCATTTACCCACGAAAAGCTGTGAGTACTTCAGGGGGCTTTTGTCTTTAAGACACTGGGGTGGCCTTTTTCTCTGATTTGAGTAAAACAGAACTCTGTAAACTGAGAACACAATCAGCAAATGTAATCGCTTAATCTTTGCTTCTTTCTGGAGAAGCCGTCGGTCATGAGGACGTTAAAAAAGCTGATCAGAAAACAAACCTGTCTGAGAAGAAATTAATTCAGCGTGCTTTTCTATTTGACATCTAAAAAAATTAAGCTAGCATGGAAGTTTCCGAACCTGCAGTTCCTCAAATGGCCACTTGAGGTCCCATAGACACCCACTTTAAGACGTAAACACCATCTTTGGATGGTTTGTCTCATTTACTAATACATTAAAACACCACAGATAAAATATCGCTGTAGCTACCGTAACGTTATAATTAATGAGGAGAAGCTCACGAGTGCCCCCTGCTGAAGCTCTGTCATAACTGCAACCGATTTCTGTACAGTGGGATTAACAGGAAGTAGAACAGCTTCCTTCAGTCAAGGGTGGGTGACGCCCATGTCTTAAATATCACTGGTGTCCATGGTTACTAATGTGGAGGGGGCGGGGCTTTTGACCCACAGTTCAACCACCCACCAGGGGGCGATCAATACACCTCTGGAGCTGTCACGTTACATAATGCTGTCCTGTTAATATAAAATAAAGTGCAATACATCAAAGTCTTCAAATCATGCTCACTACATTCTCCCACCTTCATCACCACCACCTTCATCATCATCATCATCATCATTAATTATCAGTAACGGCTTCATTATCAGCACCACCTCCTTCTTTTCTTCTTCTTGTTTTCTCATAATGCCACCGGCACATCTCCAGCAGCTCTAATGACTCTGCAGCGTCTCCTCGCCTCAGTCAGAGGTCCCTGAACGCGCTCCTCACCAAGTTAAACAGTTCAGCTCAATTTAAATTAAATCGATTAAACGTCTAAAATTACCAAACTCTGAGGGTTGAGTGAATAACCTGCCCTCCCACCTCTTTGATGGTGCAGTACTCCGCCTGCGGGGACCATAACCGCCTCTTGTAGAAGTAGTTCAGCGCGATGAAGAGCGCGGAGCCGAGGGCAGCCACGGCGGCGGTCAGGGCGATGGAGATGTGCCGGAGGAGAACCATAGGTGGCGGGTGAGGTGGCGGAGGGAGCCGGGAACGGGAGCCGGACACACCGCTGCTGCTTGTTCCTGGACGCCGACGGCTCGACTGACTTCCTCGTTCCTCGCGGCTCCGCGCTCGTGCTGCGGCTGTGCGCGCTACATGTGACCGAGCCGCTCTGATGTTTTTGTTCCCAGACGCAGAAAAAATGCTGCGTTCAGGCGCTGCTCGGAAATTTCCCTTCTCCTCTGTACAAGCGCGTTTAACTAATACACTGACGGTCAGCGACTGCTTTGATCCCTGATTAAGAACAAAATGTACTTTTTTCTTTTTTAATCTGTCATAATCTAATGATTTATATGACGATTTTATTTGTTCCTGGCCTACTAACGTTGATACATTTATTTATTATTGCGTTATAATGATATAAAATTATTGAATTTTGTGAATATGCATATTTGTACGAGAGCCCGACTGATACCAATACCAAGTCATAGATAACTATTTACACAAATTCTGCTCGGATCAGCTGATTGTTGTGTTTGTAATGTTCCAAGCACCTGTTGCAAACAGAGAAGTTCTAAAGCACCCCCTGGTGTACAAACCAGACTATGCAGCACCAACATTCATAACGGAAATTAAACGTTCTTCTTTAATTCTTCATTACTTTTTCACTTGTCAGCTTTTTTAAATTCCAAGACCAATATAAAGGTAGACAGCTAGAATTTGCTTATATATACTGGAAGTGTACCCCACAGTGATGTGCCCCACAGTGATGTGCCCCACAGTGATGTGCCCCACAGTGATGTGCCCCACAGTGATGTGCCCCACAGTGATGTGCCCCACAGTGATGTGCACTGTGGATTTTACTGTTGCTGTAACCAATTACAATAACATTAAAAAGAAATATATTTCATGCTTCACTTCAATTTAGTGGATATTTTATTCCTGTTATATAAAACAATTATGAAGGGAAGAACATCGTTTGAATATTTCCTCCTGAAAAAGCAGCTCAAATCTAGCAAAGTGCTTCATTAAGAAAGCACCCAAAGCTGGAAACACATCTGTTAGTGAAGGCGTTTCCTTTTTTCCACAGTAACAGAGGCGTCATGGAGGCCTGACCCTGCATCCCGCATCCCACAGCAGGCACAGCTTCATCCACTGCTTCATGAATGCAACAGTGCCAAAATAGTGACACAGCTGCTGGGATAATGATGGAGAAGCAGCGTCGTTTTTCACTTTGTGATTGAGGGGATAAAAAACCCTTCTAGCTCGCGCTCCACTTGTCTGAGTTACACCTGCAGTCCTGTGGAAGATGACATTATCTGCTCAGACGCATAAGTGTTTATAATAATGGAAATGGTCAAAGGCTCTGTTTTGGACCCTTTTGCTGTCACAGCTACTTTAACTCTTCTACAGGTTGTCGGACACATCCCTGTCCCTCACATCAGAAAGGTCAGAGGTCACACATTGTCCTTTTTTGCTCTCCCAGTTCCAGTTTCCCTGATCTGCTTGGCAGTTTGTCCACCTTTGTCAAAATGTTGCTGTGATATTTGACTCTTGCTTTAAGTTTGACAAGCAGATGAACTCGGTGCTTCTTCCATCCATGCTCTGCATTAAAAATGACGCCTTTTCTTTCTGTGACTGATCACAACATTCTCATTCATCCCCTCATTTCCTCATGTTTGGACTACTGCACTTCCCTTTATGCTGGCTGTATCTGATAGGCTGGGTTACAGGCACTTTCAGGCCTGGTGGGTGTGTCCCTGCCAGGTGGCTGGCCACACCTGAGGAAATGATCACACACACCTGCAGCTGAGCTGATCAAGCCTCGTCGGAGGAGCTACTTAGGAGTGTGGTGGAGCTCTCGCTGATGCTGGATCATTATGTGACTACCTGTCAGTGGTTTCAACATATCCATAAGTGTAAGCCTGCCACAGTTATTTCCAACGAGGAGCCTGGAAATGAGGGCGCAGCAAGCACCGGGAGCATGGACACTGGGAGGAAGACATGGCACGGGAGTCTGGGGTCCACAGGGATTTATTGTTGTGTATTATTTACGTCACTGTAAATAAACACACTGCTTGCATTGAAGAGTCCTGCGTTTGGGTCCTCCTGTCCCTCATCTCCATGGGCTGCCGGAGCAGCCGTGGCAATTCTAGTGATTTAAACGACCAGTTTAGTGCAGTGGGAGCTAATGTGGAGTTTTTCCTACAGCGCTTGAAGGCAACAGAATTGTAAAATGTTAGGATGTTTGGGTTTCACTGTCAACCACAGCAGGTATTGATATTACTGTGCAAAGATTGCTGCTACATAAATATTCAAAAAGTTGCATACTGAACTGCAGCTCTGTTTGCAAAAATGAAAACACAAAACAATGATATGCAAAATAATTAATACACGTTTTGATTGGCCATAGACCCCCCCCCCCCCCCCAAAAAAAACCCCAAAACATGTCACATGATGATCATTATGAATTTAATGCCAGCAACTGCTGAGCAATAGAAAACTGTTGTTGAAACAAACAGAGATGAAAATAACTGTTGAGGTGAATTAAAAGCATGATTGGACATGAAGAACAGCTTTTTACAGATACATATAGGGAGGGTTTCAGCTCTCCGTGGAAGACTGTGCATAATTCATTCATAGTACATAAAGTCGTTAAGATTCAGAGAAATCTTCATACACAAGGTCAAAAACCAGGCTGTGAGCCTCAGGCCTTCAGGCAGCGCAGCACCAAAGACAGAAATGTGGTGATTCAGTGGCAGAAATCAATTTCTTAAAAACACGTCAGTGAACGCAGCTCATCACTGCGTCCTTCAGTTTCACTTGAATCCCCGTGAAGGAAAAACAGAAACAAGGCCGCGAGATAAACACTGAGCACACGCTTTGGTGACAGTGGGAAGGAAAACCTCCCTTTTAACAGGAAGAAACCTCCGGCAGAACCAGGCTCAGGGAGGGGCGGGGCCATCTGCTGTGATTGGTTGAGGGGAGCGGAGGGAGACAGGATAAAGAGATGCTTTGGAAGAGAGCCAGAAATTAATTATAACTGATGAATAAATAAGAGGTGTATAAAAACACAGTGAGTGAGGAAGATGCACCCAGTGCATCATGAGAAACCCTCAGTAGCCTAAGCCTAATGCAGCCATGCCCATAACATCTGCACTACGAAGTAGTTTCACTCTTTGTTGTTGATGTTGGACTCTTGTTTGAAGAAACATCTGCACGATGGAAGAACCTGCAGGTGATGATAACCATCATTTCTCCCAACCTGTTCAGCACTGCGGAATATTGTCCTCCAGGGGGCGCTGTGGGCTTGAAAGTTTGGGCAGGTTAGGAGGTTTAACTGCTAACAAATAAGTGAATAACATTTAAACCAGGCTTTATGAATAAAACATTAATGTATGAGCCACAAAACTGAACAAAACTTTAAGTATCACCATAACTCGCAGCCTACAATGAAACTTTCTGTCAATAAAAATAATAAAAGTTGTAAATGTGGAGGTTTATCTGGGTATTTTTGTTATGTTTATCATTATTTTTAATCATGAAAGTTGTTTGTCAGGAGCAAGATTTTGCAAAATCGGAACAGCTGTTTGAATAAAAACACAGCACGTGTGCATTTCTATTTTACTGTAGGTTTTATGGTAAGTTCCAAGTGTTTATTCTTAGTGAATTTTAATCTTGTTTGTTACTAACTTAAGTCACATCTAGTTTTGATTGTTTTAGTTGTAACTTTTTTTAACTAACGTTTAGCTATAGTTCACTGTAACATTCTCTTTTTTAACATAGATTTTTTTAATTTTAGTGATATTTCAATACAATAACCAAAAGTATTTACATTTAATGTTTACCTTCACTATAGGCCTTTTACTATGTTGTGTTATTCATAGACCCCTGTATATTTTATTCTTCTTCCTGCTGCTATAAAACAATATTTTTCTCATGGTATCAGTAAAAGTATTTTTCGGAAATTGTTTTGCCCGGAAGTCTTATTTTGTGTCCTGGAGTTTGTCAACAAATATTTTATTTTGAAACCGGAAGTCGGGTTGAGCGGCGGGCCGTTAGCTTGATCGGTTCGAGCGAAGTCATCGGGACCGAAGAAGACTTTACCGCCACCGCTGCCACTGCTGCAGTCTCCCTCTGCCCAGCTTTCCCCGGAGGATTTTTACGGGATAACAGAGAAGTTCTTCGGCTATTTAGCGGATTTAAACGGCTGTGAATTCTCTCGGTACTTTTCTCCTTTCTCCAAGCGGCGGGCGGACTGTTCGCTGTCCCGCAGGCTGGAGGCTAGCGTCGGTTACTGCGGCTAAACATGGTGGCCTGTCGGCACGGAGAGGAGCCGAGCCCCAGCTCTGCGGGTTTGGGGGTGTTATAAGGGAACGCGAGGACGTTTTTGGCTGCTGCTCCACCCTTTTCTAAGTCTGCGCTTTGTTAATCTGGAGGTTTCTACGGGGCTCCCCGGGTGTTTCCGTTAAACCCGAGCAGCAGTACCACCGGCGTCAGCAGGACCCCGTCCGTGTTCGGCGGAGCGTGGATAATCATCCCGAAAAAGTTCTTCCAGGCCGCCTCAAAGTTTGCCCGCGGACCTGGGAAACTCCAGACCGTCCTGGACACTCCTCCAGCTGCTGTGTTTACGTTACGGATACTTTGAGGCTCTCAAACCGGGATGAATTGTTGCACAAGTGCAGCCTGATGAAACAGTTTGTTTTACCCCCTTCCTCCTCCTCCTCCTGTTCAGGGTCTGATTGTTAATCTGAGGATTATTATGGATTTTTACCATGGCCTAATCCAGCCAGACTCTGAATTTGGGGACTAACTGCAGATGTAGAGTCTGACTGTGATGGTGATGATGATGATGATGGTATCTCTTCGCGATGATTCTGAGTAGAGAGGAGTTCATTACATGGAGACTCGCCTGACATGCCGAGGAAGGAGTTGCCACTACCTGACGGTTGGGAGGAAGCCAGAGACTTTGATGGCAAAGTTTACTACGTTGACCACATTAACCAGTGCACGAGCTGGATCGACCCCAGAGACAGGTAGGACTGCGCGAGGACAGGTGCCGTCGACCTTTGACCTCTGGCAGATAGTCAAAGCACATACATGTAAATACATGATGTGTTAAAGGCTCCATTCATGCAGTAAACGAGGTGTGAGCCTTTTAGCCCAAACATCGTTGTCTGTTCATGAAGTCAACACAGAGTTCCACTCCATGTTTGCACTGAAGTACCTTGATATGGATTTAATGTGCAATATTTAAACCTGCTGAAGAGGCTTTTTTATTTAGGGAGCTGTCGCAGGTAAAAGCCAGTCACACTAATCCCAGTAATGCCTGATTTTAGGGACCTTGTTCCCAGTTTTCTGGCAGGTTTATTTGTTTATTAAGTTATTTGATAAGACATCATAGTAAAATCAGTGGTAGCAGGTGATGGAGGAGAGTTGGTATGAACCTTCCAATAAAAGAGTTGCCCAGTGGCTGGCCAACAGCTAGAGACCTCTGATTGGTTGGAGAGTGGTTGCTGGTTGGTGCCTGGTTTTAAATTGGTTGCAAAGAGGGTGCTGCACCAAAATCCTCCTTGGGATTGCTTTGGTGGCTCACAGGTTGCTTTGATCACCTGTAGTTTGCTTGGAGGATGCTCACTCATTTGGAAACACTCACCAACTAACCACCAAGCAATTGCATACAACCTCCCAAAACTACTCGCCAACTGGTCAGGAATACTTTATTTTTCCCTAGCGACTGCTGGTTACCAGGGAAACACTGACCAGTCAGTTTCACAGCAACCACTCACAGCTGGATGGTGGAATACTTGTTATTCCCTAGCAACGGTGGTTGCCGGGTAGTCTCCAGCTGGTGTGACTGAGGTGTGAATGAAATGGGTAGCTGCTGGAGTCAAGGTGGGTGAAACAGAAGGCGATGGCTACCTGATGAATCAGCCTCACAGGTGTGCACAGTAATCAATTAATTGCAGTGAAAGCCAATCACCTGTATGAATTATCATCTGTAAATTAGAGTGAATGCATTTTATATATATATATATATATATATTAGGGGTGCAACGATATTCGTATCGATATTGAACCGTTCGATACAGTGCTTTCGGTTCGGTACGCATATGT